GTGCTATTCTATCTCTACACTTTTACTCAAGTGATTAAAAAAAGGAAGGAAGGAAAGAAGGGAGGGAGAGAGGGAGGAAGGAAGAAAGGGAAGAAAGAAAGGAAAAAGGGAGAAAGGAACTGAATGCTCCCTAAATATAATGACCACCATGGCCTCAGAGAGAAGTTTAGGAAATCTACCTCTCTGTCTTCATGGTAGAGGGGCAGGACTTTGGATGTAGATTCTCTATATACATTCTACATTGTAGAACATAGGCAGCTGAGTGGCATGATGGAGAAAGACTTGAGTTTGAATCTTATTTCAAACACCTCTTAGCTGTGTAAGCCCCTACAAGTGACAACTTCTATGTGCCTCAGTTTCCTGATTTGTAAAATGGGGATGATAACAGTACCTCCCCTCACAGAGTTGCTGTGGGTCAAATGAGTTAACATATATAAAGTACTTTGCCAACTTTAAAACATTATATGAATGCTATCTGCTACTATCAGACACAGTTGTGGAACTAGTGGATAGAGTGTTGGAGCTGTAGTCAGGAAACCCTGAGTTCAAATCCTGCCTTAGATAGACATTTACTAGCTGTATGACCCTAGAGAAGTCATTTACACACTCTCAGCCTCCATTTTCTCATCTGTAAAATGGGGGTGATAATAATAACATTTACCTACCATGGTTGTTGTGAAGATCAAACAAGATAATATTTGTAAAGCGCTTTGCAAACATTAAAGCATTACATAAATGCTAGCTATTGTCATATGTTGATTAGTTTTACTGAACTGTTTTTTTGTTTGTTTCTTTTAAATCTGTTGCTCTAAGTAATGCCTCCAGGGGGAAGATTATATTCAAAAATGAATATAATGTAACAACAAAAGATACCAAGACAAAAGACATGGCTGATTTTTTTTTTTGAAAGGACTTGATCATAGATCAAGAGCTTGAAGGGACCTCAGAAACCAGCTAGTGTTATGTTTCAGATGAGGAAGCTGAGGCACCGGGAATTTGTGGACTGTTCCCAAGGTCACACAGATAATGAGAGGCAGAGGAGAGGATAGAGGATTTGAACTCAGGTCCCCTGGTGCTAGAGTCAGTGCCTTTCCACTAACCTACAATACTTTCCTCCATTTCTGCAGCATAGATTGCCTTTCTAGGTCTCTCCTAAGCCCCACAACCATATTATTTGCAGTGGAGAACACAGAATGAAAAAAAACAAAACCACAATTTATATATATATATATACATATATATATATATATATATATGTATATATATATGTCATTTCAACAGTGAAACAACGTCAGCCTCTTCCCTTAAATCCTCAGCAGCCTAATAGACCCTGTTATCCGTTCTCATTTTTGTTGACACTTTCATCCCTCTCTGTCATCTCTTCCTTTCTATTACCAGAATATCAATGTCACACACATCCATCAGTGTCCATATCTCCTGTCTTGTTACCAGAATCATTCTCACAGACTGCAAGCTCAAATGCAATCTGAGTGCCCTTTCCCACTGACCTTTATAGAGAACCCAAGGGCTTTGGGTAGTTGGGCTAGCCAATAAGATTATTACCTGCAAGACGCTCCCTGCTTTTATCTCAACCCTGTGTAAACAAATAACCAAAGGCTATTATCTTCTTATAATGAAACTGGGGGTCAGGAGGGGAGGAATTGTAGTTACTGCTGGCTGAACTTGGGTTCCTTTTCTTCTCAAAAAAAGTAAAAAACAAATACCAAAGACTGAAGACTACAGTGTATCAATGATGTCAAGAACAGTAAGAGCTCTGGCTGGTATTCGTTGCTCTACAACCCAGCTCTCAGCGTCACTGCTGCTGAAAGGTGGTGGGGAGAGTTCCATTTGGAGGTAAAGGGGTGAGTCATCTTGGAAACCAGTGAGTGGTGTGGGTGCTTCCCTTCTAATCCCCCCCCTTCCCCTTCACACCACTGCCAACCTCCTCTTCCTTATGCATAGATCTGCTGAGGTCACCCCTGAGCTTTAAAATCGTCAGTGAATCCCTGCTGTGTGCCAACTAATGTACAGAGTCATAGGATACTAGATCTATATTTGGAAAGGACCTAAGGGTTTCAAACACATTGTTATATGGTTAAGGAAACTGAGGCTCAAAGAAGTCAATGACTTGACCAAGGTCACGCAAATAAAAATAATCAGAGAGGGATCAGGAATGCAGTTCATCTGACTCCAAAGTTAGAGTTCTTCCTTGCCAGACTCCTTGGGCTGGCATTCAAGGCCCTCCATAATCAACACTACCCTCCCTCCTTCTCTAACCTTACGTCACATTACTCTTCTTGCACTGATGCTCTTGACCAAACTGATCACTCTCTGTCCTCTGAACACAAGGGATACATCCATGCCTCCCTGACTTAGGATCACAGGACCCTGGATTTCACCCAGGAAGGGAACTTAGAGCTCATAGGATCCAACCCCCTGAGGGTTTCTTGGTATCTATGTGGATCAGTGGAGAGAACACTGGATTTGGAGTCAGGAAGGCTTGAGATCGAATCCTGTCTAGACACTTACTTGCTATATAACCCTCATCATTGTTCAGTCATTTCAATCGTGTCCAACTTTCTGTAACCCATTTTTGGGTTTTCTTGGCAGAGATACTAGAGTGGTTTTCCATTAACTTCTCCAGCTCATTTTACAGATGAGGAAACTGAGGCAAATGGGATTAAGTGCCTTGCCCAGGGTCACACAGATAAAAAGTGTCTGAGACCAGATTCAAATTCATGAAGATGAGCGTTTCTGGTTCCAAGCCCAGGGCTTTATCCACTGCACCACCTAGTTCATTAAGTCACTTAATGTTGTCTCCCTCACCTTCCTTTTCTGTAAAATAGGGATGAAAATAATACTTAGCTCACAGAATTGTTGTGAGGATCAACTAAATTAACATATGTAAAGCACATTGCAAACCTCAAAGCTCTATATACATGCTAGTTATTACTACTGTTGTGGTAATGGTGGTTGTTGTGGTGGTGGTTGTTATTTTAATAGACATGGAAACTAACACTCTCCAAAAATTGAGTGACCTACAATCACATACAGTGAATATGTCATACAGTGAATATGTCGAACCAAGATTTGAACCCAGGTAGCATGACACCAAATCCATTATTTTTCCACTATGACACAATGCCTGCTGCAGTTACCCTGTTCCTATGCCTGTAAAGCCCATCCTCTCTTCATCTGTTGAATTCCTATTCATCCTTTAAATTCCAGTTCAGATGCCACCTCTTCCTTGATGCTTTCCCTAATACACACTGTAGCAGCAATATTGTTATACTCTGACCTGAGTATAGCTCAAACTGGATGTCCAGGAGACATCTTAAAATCAACACGTCCAAAAACTAAATTCATTCAAAGCCTCCTCCGACCCTGGTTCCTAACCTCCCTATTTCTGTCTGGGCCACCACCATTCTCTCAGTCCCCCAGGCTCATAACCTAGGTATCATCTTTGATTCTTCCCTCTCTCTCTCTTATCCACCATACTCAATATGTTGTCAAGGCCTGTTAATTTTATCTTTGTAACATTTCTCAAATATGCTCCTTTCTCTCTTCTGACGTGGCCACCAATCCAGTGCAGGCCTTCATCACCTCACCATTAGTCAACTTCAATAGCCAATTGGTCTCTGCCTGCCACAAATCTCTCCCCACTCTAATCCATCCTCCATTTAGCCACTGAAATGATTTTCCTAAAGTACAGGTCTGACCATGTCATCTCCCCATGTCAGTACACTTCAGTGGCTCCCTATCACCCCCAAGATCAAAATCAAATACAAAACCCTCTGTTTGGCATTCAAAGTCCTTTATAACCCATCTCTTTCCTCCCTTTCCAGTCTTTTCTCCTTACTCCTAGACATGTACTCTTTGATCCAGTAACACTGGCTTCCTTTCTGTTTTACCAACAACTTACTCCATCTCTCAGCTCTGAACACTTTCTGTGGCTGTCCCCATAACAGGAATGCTCTCTCCCCCCCCCTCATCTCTACCTATTGGCTTTCCTGGTTTCCTTTAAATACCAAATAAAATGTCTTCTACAGAAGGTTTTTCCCAACCTCTCAATTCTACTGCCTTCCTTCTTTTAATTATTACCTATTTATCCTGGGATGTTGGGTGTAGGGTGTGTTCAGGGAAGACTAGTACCTCTGATATGAGAGCTGCTGAGCTCTTTTCAGGGCTGCTTTCCACCTTTGATGTCCACTTGATCCACCCAACTCTCACTTGTAGCTCCCAGGAGCTATAGCATTCACAGCAGCCACACCTTGCTAAACCATTTTGGCAGATTGGCTAAACCAGGTTGAGGATAACCAAATGGTCTCAAACCCATCAATGAGTTAGAGGGTTGTCTACCCCAAGCACGTGAAGACTTCCTCTGGTGGAATGGGTGGATGAGAATAATTTGTTCCAACGACCATGAAAGCAGCTAAAGCAGGTGCTGTGGAGAGCTTAGAGCTTGGTTTGACATCGAAGATGCCAAGGTTATCCACTACATCTTGAGCTATCATCAGTCATCTTGACTCTGTCCTGCCAGTGGATTGAGATAACTCTGGAAGAGCAAGTGAGGCAGATGATTTCATGCAACTCTGCCTCACTTAAATCCAATTTACACAGGAATCAAAAGACATCACCCATACCATTTCGCCATTTTTACCTATCTCAAAGTCCTGTGGCAATAGGCAAGAGACAGAGCAGCAGGTGCAGCTATGCTGACAGCAATAGTCACAACCCTGCACATAGGCAGCCCAGGTCATAGGGTTGTCTTCTCACTGGAAGTGGCAATGGGATTTGGCAGCCCTCTGGGTGTCTGAGGAGCCTTTTAAGGATTACACTGCTCACCTCCTGGTGTGAGGAAGGGGCTAGAAAAGGTGCCCTAAAAATTGTCTCCTTACACAACCCTGGCCTGATTACCATGGCAGTTGGGGACCCCACCCTGAGTTTGAAACACACCAAAAAAAATGTACAAAAACTTTGACAAAGATGATTCCACTCACCATCGGCACATGGAATGTTCACACACTTTTAGACAACACAGAATCCGGTAGACCTGGAAGGCAAACAGTTCTTGTTGTGAAAGAACTCAGCAGGTATTACATCCAAACAGCAGCCCTGAGTGAAACAAGGCTAGCAAAGGAAGGCCAGTTTACTGTTGTCAGAGCTGGATACACATTTTTCTGCTGTGGCCACAGTGAAGCAGAGCACCATTTTGTAGATTTAGGTTTTGTAGATGTAGTTTCTGCTATCAAAACTGATCTAGTCAACAAGCTTGTATGCCTACCAAAAGGAGTTAAAGACAGGCTCACGACAATGTGATTGCCACTTGAAGGAGAACTCCACACTACCATCATCAGTGCCTCTATTCCCACCATGACAAATCCTGATGAGGTCAAACAAAAGCTTTATGAAGACCTGGAGACTCTTATCATCAATGTGCCAAAAAAGGACAAGCTTATAATTCTCGGTGACTTTAATGCTAGAGTAGGCTCAGACTACCAGACATGGCAGGGAGTCCTTGGAAGGAATGGAGTTAGAAACAGCAACAGCAATGGTCACTTACTACTGAAGACTTGTGTATCTCATGACCTTCTCATCATCAACACTGTCTTCCATTTACCTAAACACAATAAAACTTCAGGGATGCACCCTCGCAGCAAACATTGGCATTTAGTAGATTATGTGATTGTAAGGAGAAGAAATAGACAGGATGTGACAGTGATGAAGGTAATGTGTTGTGCAGAGTGCTGGGCTGATCACAGACTTATCCTCTCCAAGCTATGTGTTCACATTCAACAAAAGTGGTGGACCCGAGGTAAAATGACTACCAGAAGAATTAATGTCAACAGATTAGAGCACTTCTCTGAGTAGGAACAGTTTGTTGCTAACTTGGAGGGAAAGTTGAACCAACACACAGTTGGCAACAGTGGAGCAGAAAAGGAGTGGGAAGCTTTGAGAGATTTAGTGTACAGAAGTGCATTTGCTCATCTGGGCCAGAACACTTGCAAACATCATGAATGGTTTTACAAAAACGATGGAGAAATTCAAAAGTTGCTATATGAAAAAATGAGAACTCCACAGGGTTTACAAGCAGAATATTTCATCCATCTCTAAGGAGGCAGCATTTAATTCTATCAAAGGTAAAGTACAAGCAAAGTTTAGAGAGATGCAAGATTCTTGGCTCAGTAAGAAGGCAGAAGAAATTCAGTTTTATGCTGATAGCAATAATCCAAAGCACTTTTATGATGCCCTGAAGGCTATTTATGGGCCAAAGACCTATGATACATTTGATCCACTCAGTGTTGATGGAGCCAGATTGAGTAGTGATGAGGACAAGATCTTAGAGAGATTGGCTGAACACTTTCATAGTGTACTCAACAGACCATGATCAATCAATGCTGAAGCCACTGACCATTTACTTCAGGTTGAAGTCAATCCCACCCTAGCTGAAATTCCAACTGAAGAAGAGATTTTTGAATGTCATTAGGCTCCTTTCGTGTGGTAAAGCATCTGATGCTGATTTACAAGGTGAGGGAGTCCATTACTCATACAAAAGTTGACTGAAATTTTCTGGGTTATATGGCAAGAGAAGGTTATCCCTCAAGAGTTCAAAGATGCCTCTACTGTCCATCACTACAAAGGTAAAGGAAACAGATTTTCCTGTGACCATTACAGGGGGTCTTTTAGTTATTGTTGGCAAGATTCTTGCCAGAGTCCTCCTTAATAGGCCAATCCTTCACCTGGAAGATGGTCATCCACCTGAGAACCAGTGTAGCTTCAGAAAGGGCCAAGGAACTGTCAATATGGTGGTTGCTGCCCGACAGCTCCAGGAGAAATGCCAGGAGCAGAACACAGGTCTGTACAGAATGTTTGTAGGTCTGACCAAGGTCTTTCATACTGTCGGTCACAAAGCTTATGGAAAATTATGTCAAAATTTGGTTGCCCAGAGAATTTTATCATTATTATGTGTCAATTTCATGACAACATGCTTGCCTGAGTTCTGGATAATGGATGATACTGTGGATAAGTTCATTTACTTTGGCAGTATACTTTCCAGGGATGTATCCGTTGATAATGAGGTTGATACACATATTGCCAGAGCTAGCTCAGTGTTTGAGAGGCTCCAAAGGAAGGTGTGGGGAGAAGAGGTATTAGACTGACTACCAAACTGAAGGTCTACAGAGCTATTGCACTCATTGTATACCTGTGAAACTGGACAGTATACCAGTGCCATGCCAGGAACCTGAATTGCTCCCATTTGAATGGTCTTAGGAAGATTCTGAAGGTCACCTGGTGGGATAAGTTACCAGACACTAAGGTCTTTTCTTGAAATAAACTGCCAGTCATTCAAACTTACTACAGAGAGAACAACTCCAATGGGCTGGCTACATTGTTTGAATACCAAACATGTACTTGTCAAAAATAAGACTGTTTTATGGAGAATTCACACAGGGCAAGCATTTACATGGTGCTCAGAAGAAGCTATATAAGGACACTTTCAATCTCTCTTAAGAACTTTGGAATTGATTGTGTGACATGGGAGACACTGGCACAGGCCTGCCCAGCATGGCATACCCTCATCAGAGAAGGTGCTGTGCTCTGTGAGCAAAGCAGAATTGAAGTAGCTCAAAAGAAACATAAGATGTGCAAATTTAGAGAATCCACCCCAAATGTTCACATGGACTCTTTGTGCCCAACCTGTGGTAGAGCATTCTGAGCTCACAGTCAGGCACGTTGTAATTCGACTCTAACATAGTGAGTTTGGTGTACTTTGAGAATGAAGGAAAACAAACAAACAACCACTTATTTATCCTGTTTATAACATTTTTGTACATATTCATTTGGTTTTTTTACCCCACAATTGTAACTGTGGGTTCCTCAAGAGCAAGGACTGCCTTTTGCCTTTTTTTTTTTAATCCCAGTACATAGCACAGTGCCTGGCACATCATAGGTGTTTAATAAATGCTCATTGACTGACCAACTGATAAATAGCCAATAACTATAGGTCACTTATTCCTCTCTCACATACATGCCTTTTTGTAAGTCAGGGAACTTGTCCCCTAGCCACTCCCTCAATCCTCACCTCTCTAAGGAAGTGATTTTCTTTTTAAAAAAGCCCCAAAAGTTAAAAAAATGCCTGCCTCAATGCCAGCTAGTTAGCTTCACAGACTCTGTTACTGATTCATTTAACCAGAGAAACCCTAATAAATATACATTCTGTCCTGGGAAATTCTAAAAGTAAATCAATGACTATCTTTTTTAGCTCTGAGCCCCCAGTCAGAAACTAAGTTCTGGCAAAGTATTTCATTTTAAAATCTGTCTCCCCCTCTTTGTTTTTTTCAAATTGATCCTCTCAATAATGTATTCAAGCAATACTGCATATGGTTTAGTAATGTGTATTGTCAACAGCTTTATCACGTTTGCTGGCTTAAAAAAAAAACTAAAGTAATCTATACAAGGATAAGCAATCTTTTAAGAAATAAAAGGCTCATACCACTAGTAGGTCTATATTCCAAAAAGATCATAAAAAAGGGAAAAGGACCCACATATACAAAAAATATTTATAGCAGCTCTTTCTGTGGTGGTAAAGAATTGGAAATTGAGGGGATGCCCATCAATTGGGGAATGGCTGAACAAGTTGTGGTATATGAATGTAATGGAATATTATTGTGCTTTAAGAAATGATGAGCAAGCAGACTTCAGAAAAACCTGGAAAGACTTGTATGGACTGATGCTGAGTGAAGCGAGCAGAAAACAGGAGAACATCGTACACAGTAACAGCCATGTTGTGTGATGAGTAATATTGATAGACTTAGCCCTTCTCAGCAATGCAAGGATCTAAGACAATTCCAAAAGACTCATGATGGAAAATGCTATCCACACCCAGAAAAAGAACTATGGAATCTGAGTGCAGATCTAAGCATGCTATTTTCTCTTTTTTGTTTGTTTGTTTTTCTTTCTCATGGTTTTTTCCTTTTGTTCTGATTCTTCTTTCATGACATGACTAATGTAGAAATATGTTTAATATGATCATACATGTGTAGCCTACATCAGATTGCATGCTGTCTTGAGGAGGGGGTTGGCAAGGGTGAGGGGGATTTAGAAATCAGAATTTTATAAAAGTGAATGCTGAAAACTAAAAATGAAGATATAAAGAAATATTTTTTTTTAAAAAAGAAATAAAAGGCTCCTACTCCCAGTAGGGGGAGGCGAGAGGGATATCAGGCCTAGATTCCTATCATTTTAGGAATGAGAAGAGAAGAAAAATGACGTGAAGAATTTCTGGCCTCAGACCGCAATATGAACAGGTATCTGTAATGAACTGTATATACTCCATGCTACATGCATGACTCATCTATACCATCTAGAAGCCATAGTCTTCAGTTTCTTTGTATGTAACATTAAAGGGTTAGATCAGACGCCCTTTAATGTCCCTTCCAACTCTAAATCTGGTACCTTACTGGTCTATAAACTCAATTAAAACTAAAATCATATCTTATCAAAATTTTGCCTGTCATCCCTCATCTAACACAGAGCTCAGTACATAATAGACACTCAATAAATATTTGTTGAATAAATGAATAAATGGCTTAGGAATAAAACATACAGCATGAAATTCAGTTGTACATGTCAAAAAATCTCATCGTGACTATAATCTCCATAAAAAAAAAAAACTAAAAATGTCCAGGCCCTAGCCAGTGGGGTACTTGTTTCAAACAACCATCAATACCCCAAGTTACACTGCAGCAGAAAAATAGAGCTGGTAAAACTAACTTTCATGTTAGTTATAACAGGGTTTCTTTATATTCTGAGCTAAGCCCTTTCCAATACTCCCAGGAAACTCAAATAGTCTTATGTAGGTTCCTGAGGAAAAACTAGATCAGTAGTTGACATTTCAGTCTAAAAGATTATGCTTTAAATCTCTATATTTCTCCTGAAACATGGACTGGCTAAGAGGGAAATGACATACGGAGTGTAGAGAGAAAAAAATGGTAATGCAGCAAGCAGAATTCCCTGAATGAACTGTGACAAAATATACACTAGTGGTAGAGA